AATCACCCTTCCCTGTTCTGAAAAGCAAGTAGGCAATCTCATTTTTACAATCCTGCTTCTGCAAATCGCTCTTTGCTTATTCATTGGCTAAAATCTAACAGGTCATGTTGTCTCTGATGATGTCTCTAGTGATGCCCTGTGGTGGGAGGAGGTAGCAAAACACAGCCTTCATAAGACAAGACAGGAAGGATTGTTATGGGACTCTGATCACAATTAATAAAGATAGTCTGACTGCAGCTCTAGGGAAGAAACTAGTAGAGGTCTCCAGGTTCAAAAGTAGGAGACTCACACCTTCTCTAAACAACTGCATTTTCATGTTCTCAGCACAATGCATTTCATCTATGTGCACTTGGTGGGTGTGTTAGTGTATTTCAACCCACCCACATGACAAGTAGAACAGAAACACCACAAAAGTAAGAGAACATACAGTACTTACATTGAGATAGCTAAAATCATCACTCTAAAACCAGAAAGAATGCAACAAAACCCCCAACAATAAACATTGTTTGAAATAGTCCTGTGCTGGGAAGTGAATAGACTAGAGGATCAATAAGGCTCTTCCAATCTTCAGTCTCTAGAAAGACAATGGATCTTGCAATTTATTTTTCTGCTTGTTGGCAAAATTACGTATCTTGTAAACTTTCAGAGGTTTTAGCCTTTGGTGTTTCATGACTTCTCTCAATGAGACATCCAGTTCAAGTATCAGTAAAAGAAATAGCTCTATCAGCACCAAACCAAAACATAGCAATTGCAAAGTTGCAACAAAGAGATTTTTAATTACAGCAGAAACCAAGTACATTTAAAATTCAGCTCAGTAAATGACAAAATTACAGGTAATCAACTAGGGAAACACAGTTTTGTTTTAATTCCAATCAACAGGCAACTCTCTCATTTTTATATAAATAAATGAGAAAATTTGATTTAAAGTAGTGCATGAACAAAATCAAACATGAATTCAAAAGATTTCTGCAATCAACCAGGCATCTTTTCCAAAAATGAACAGACAAAACCTGTTCACTTATTATGAAGGATTACTGCAGAGGATTACACTAGAGCAGTGGTCTTCAAAGTGGGGCACACGTACCACAGAGGTCAAGAAAGAAAATCCAGTGGGATGCTGCATGAAAATATCAGAACTTCAACAGTACATCTATAAAAGTTATAAATAAATAAATATACACATAATGAGGGTGCATGATCAAGAAGTTTATACTGATAGGGATGCATAACCAAAAAAGTTTATAGAGACCTAGAGATAGCCCTAGAGAATCCTGCCACAAAATTACTGCTGCCAATGTCAAAGGCATCTAATGAAGATGTTGGTAAGATATAAGCTCTCTTTTGCACTTCTCAACTATCAGTTATACAAACGGGTAAAAACGTCTCTAGAAAACAGGTTTTTGAGCTCCTATCCTTTGTTCAGGAGCATGGATTCTCATAAAACTCCCAAATTACTCAGCTTTTTATTTGTTTTCAGGAAATGTAATTTACTGATTTCTCACAGATCTCTTCTCTCCACTGTACTTTCTGCAACCAACTGATGAAGGAGCTAATTTTCCTTACGTGGTCAGTTAAACAAGAGCACAATACCTGCATGTGTCAATCAAGACAGGTAACTTAAGGTATTTGCAGATGGGAATGGATGGTCCCTCTGGAAAACTCCTAAATAAAGGAGAAAAGTTGGTGTTCTTTTTCATCTGGGCTACCTCACTTGCAAGAAAAAGTGGCCAGTGAACAAAATCTGTCTCAGTAAGCAGCCATTACGTTAAAGCTTAAGCAATGGATTACAAGAAGAGGAAAAATCCAAAACATGATGATCAGATTTGTTAATCTCTTTTCCAATCTGAAATGAGAAGGATGCAGAAATGGTGACTAAACAGAAATCTCTGTAATCATCATGAAGATGTTTGGGCTACCTCATTTCAGGAAAATGTGAGTAAGAAGAGACAAAATTATAACAGAATAGAGAAAATATAACAAGCACCCTTCCTCAGCATCACCTAACAAATCACAGGATAGGTGGTAAAGATGAAAAGCTATTACTCTTAAATTAACAAATATTTTTCTGAATTTAGTGCAATGTATAATTATCCTTTCAAACTCTGTATAGTAAGAACATCTGCAACTACACTGAGCAAAATTAGGACAATAATTCTGAATGCTGCATGGCATCCACCAACCACATCAAGCATCAGCAAGGGCTCAGTAAAGATTCGCCCAAAAGCACAATGTATCTACCCTACTGCTCCCAGAGGGTTACTTATATCTGCTCTAAAAGGTTTTGAACTGGTTAATACAATAACAGGTCTCAGGCACAGCAAGAGCGAGTTCTTGGTGTGAAGAAAGCTGAAAACCAAAAGCCAGCAGTATACAAAGTCGTAAGTAACACAAATGTTTTGGATTTACAAGAAGAGGCCATTTTTTCTTACTTGTTTTTGTCTTAGCACTATGTGTACAGACTGCTGGATGCTGCTTTTCCTCAAAGGTATAATCTTTGAATCTTAAGTAATGTTTTTCTTGGGTTTTATCCTACCTAAAGATATCTGGAGAAACAGTGATGAAATCTAAGGGAATTGCAATTCCTTCTTTTGAGAAATTGAATAAATAAAAAACCTTACGTCAGAATCTCTCAATATTTTTAGGACTGTACATTTCAGTTTTTCACCATTCAAACCTACCTGCAATATTACAACATTAAAAAAAATTTTCTAATTATAAAGCCCCACCCACATCTTCCTTCACTGAGAATTCTGAGATGCTTTTGTTTACTTTTAATTTGGAAGAGAACTCAATTTCAAATTCCTCCAGGAAATTAAATTTCCATCTTTAGCCCTGCTCTACTACAGCTATCAGACACGAAGCATCTGAGCGGATATGTTACATGGTCACCCTTCTCAGCTTTAGAAAGCTATCATTGGAGGTTGGATTGAAAGATTGAATTAAGATTTCATTCTTGGCTACACCACTAAAACATAATGAAACAGTGCTGTCTGACATAGCTCCTGTTCTACACATGGTGCACATTGCAAGCTCAATCTGTCTGCCCAAAAATAGGTACCAAAGAAAAAGGCTAAGATGTTCTAGATTACATCCACAGGGCTGGCAAGCACGGTGCAGGACAAGTGGGAGAGCCGTGCCCTGCTGGAGAGGCAGCTGGAGGCTGGGAATGATATTCCAGCACTTCAGAGATGGCACTTCCACCTATGCCTTGGCAACTGTGTTGAGCACTCCTGATTTTTAAATTTGTAATGCGCATCAGCAAGGAAAGAAAAAAGTTTAAAAATGAAAAGTTGCCGTGTAATACATTTTTGATATCGTTTTCCAGTTTGTAGGTTTGTGCTTGAAGGACATTCATGTTCATCCCGCTAGTTTAACTAGTTCCATCACTCAGCTTTTCAAAGCTTCAGGTTTGCATTTTCAGTTGTCAAATTCAAGAATTTCAAGGACTCAGACTCCCTCTTTACTCCTACATTCCCTTACTTTAAGGTCAGCTAATATAAAGCCACAAATCATACAGTTATCAGCTTATTTCTATGTATCTTTTTTCCCAGGGTTTCTTAAAAATTTGCCAGCTGTGTGATCACAAAACAGTGTACACTTCCAAACAAGCCACTGGCCAGATTCAAGCTCTAACAGAGATGATGAGCACAACAGACCCTCGTGCTTCCACAGTTACAACTGATATGTCTTTTTTTTTCCCAGTCGAATGCCACTATTTGACACTACCCTCCTCCACGGTATACAGACACAAATGTACTTTTTTTAACTTATGACGTCTCTTGCAACCTACTAAAAATCCTCATTTCTGTCATAAGCAAATTTCACTCTAGAAATATGAAGCCATGATTCGGTGTCTTTAAAAGCAGAGCCAACTTAAGCATTATGCTTTAAATAGCTAACAAAATAATATAAATGCATATTTTTATTCTGAAATTTAAATGTTCTTTATGGCCTTCATGACTGCTTCACCTATGTACCTTTTCTATAAACTAGTTTGCAAACTTCCAAGACAATTCATCCAACAGACAAGGTAAACAAGGATGTGTTACTGAATATCAACTTTTTAAAAGCTATTCAGAGAGAGCAGGTGTGTAAAAGGTAAACAGAAATTATAATAACTTAATTGCTGCAATGTTTCATAGCCAATTGGTACAGAAAATTGTTAGCAAGCATCTCTCTTTAAATAAACCATATAGTAAACCATGTTGCTGGAGTCTGAATCTGCTGTCAGAATTAATGTTGTTTATTAAATGAAAATCTTGTTTACAAATACAAGTAGTTAGTCATTTCTTGTGGGTCTGCATATTGCAAAAATTAATTCTCATCTCTTCATAAAACAAGCATTAAAATTTCAGCAACAGACTTTCAGAGAAAATTGTTGATCTTAATTTTTTTTTTTTTAAGTGATGAGAACATTCACTGTACCTTCCACTGGCTTTTTGGGGACTCTTAACCAAAGGATAAGGCTTTGAGGATCTTTCCCTTATTCATTTTAACACTAGATACCAGTGTATGGCAAGTGACTGGAAACATCTGACAAATGTGAACAAATCAAAGGTCAGTTAAATATATGGGAAATAATAAATATATGGAAAAAAATACCCAAAAATTCTTGCAAATAGTGAAAAATTATATTTGAATAATCCAGATTTTAATAACATAAAGATGATGTATCATATAACTGATGTAATAGCAAATGTTGATTAATAAAAAACTGGATTTAATTGTGTATTTTACTTAATGACAGCTACGATGTTGATTTTTTAAAATAAACATGGCAAATTTCAAATTGGAGTTACACCGACAAATTTTACTGCTAACAATAGACTGTGTTTATCTGAAGGCAGAATTTAACTGAAAATGTTTTCAACTACAATGGAAAGCCAACTGGAGGGTTTTGTCTATCTAAATTGCTTTATTGTTATGTTGTAAATCCACAAAAGCCAAAACATTGTACATAAAAAAACCCCACTAGTTTTTAGAAATTCAGAATTACTTACAAGCTGCTCAGACTTTACACCGTAAAGCTGAATGGTCTTTGCCACATTTTTTGCCACAGCTAAACTCAGGTCTGGATCAACTGCAGCCACATTTAGCTCACTGGAAGCAAAGATTACAAATCTTAATTAACAACGGAACAGTGGTGTATTTAATCGATAAAGAATTAACTATGAATACGTAGTTACGTGGCACGTCAATTCAGAGAGAGTAACACACACAACCAAGTCTTTCTACGCACAGTAATTCAGTTTACAATTTAACAAGTCATTTGGGAATTTCATGTTCAGTCTTCCTATTCTAGTAAAAATGAGCAAAGTTTAGGAATGACACTTCAGTATGAAATCACTATTAGTAAGCCATTCAACAATATTGACAGCAATTAACTACATTCAAGCTTTGGCAGCAGCCTTCAAACATTACAGGTGAATACACAGTCATTCAACTCCAGAATTACATGAGCTGTGCAGAAATACCCAGGGGACGTCTTAGCTTGACACAACTAATAAGCTGTGTTTTAGGCAATCCTGTTGAGTAACAGAGGCCCCAAAGGAATGAGAGAGAACAAACGAAGAAGGAAAAGACTTCAAAATCACTTCCATCATTTGTTGTTCGTGAACCTCCGCAGATCTCCATTGTCTGGGGCTGGATTCAGACCAGCACAAGAACTGCCGTGTTGGTAATGAGACTAACCTCTCTCAAGAGCTGGAGAATCACTAGGCACCCTAACCTAGAACAACCTTCTCCAAGAACAAAATCTGCAGGGCCCCAAATATCATTAGCTAAAGGTCACTCTGGAAAACTCAGCTGGAATTTCATAACTTTCATGTTGTTCTCCTTTCATCTTTGCAAGGAGCAAAATAACATCAATCACCACAACAGCTGCATTCCGAGCATCTGCAACTCCCAGCCACAAGTACAGTGTCAGTATTTTATAGACAAACATACATACTGTGAACACTGCCTACCACTTTCAGAATTATTAAACATAGCAGTCCTTACCAAAACCTTTTGAGGGAAAATGCACCATTGGTAATTTATGTATCTCATTCTACAAATTCTACCTAGTTATCTCTACCTATTATCTTGCTGTTTTACTCTTAACAAAATACTTACACGAGGTATTATCACTTGCAATCAAGCAACTATTATCTTCTCTTTGACACAGTCAGAACAATTAAGATATCAGACATTTACAATACCTGTGAAGTTTCTTTTCCTGATCTTTTATAAACTGACACATTAAAACTTAAATTAAAATTTCATTTATTCCAGAAAAACAAAATACAGAAAACAAACAATCAAATGTAGTATTTTTTATAAATAATAATAAAGAGCGGTGACATCATTGCTCTCTACACCTTCCTAAGCAGGGGAAGTGGAGAGGGAGGTGCTGAGCACTTCTCCATGGGATCCAATATGAGGATGTGTGGGAATGGTTCAAACCTGCACCAGAGAGGTTCAGACTTGATATTAGGAAGCACTTTCTTAACAAGAGGGAGGTCAAGCACTGAACAGGCTTCCTAGAGAGGAGGTCAATGCTCCATGACTGTCAGTGTTTAAGAGGCATTTGTACAACGCCCTTACCAACACGTTTTAGCCTTTGGTCAGCCCTGAAGTCCTTCGGGCAGGTGGACTGGATGATCATTGTAGGTCCTTTCCAACTGAACTATTCTGTGCTATGTGATGCTATTCTAGCCTAGCCTAGCCTAGCCTTATTTAATTTTTACACTAACCTGTTAATTAATAATTAAATAATTAAAGAGTAATCAACCTTTTACTGCTAAGGAAGTCTCGTTTCTAAAAGATAACTTAAGAAAAACTACTGATACTTGTTGAGTATGACATTTTGCAATGCCTTGTACGTGCATACCTGGCTATAGTTTTAATGATGCTGTCAAGCTCGTCAGAAGAGGGAGGATTCCGACCTCCAGGAGGGAAGACAAGATTGATGGGGTCAAAGAGTCGAGATAAGGATTTTGACAAATAAGCAGCTTCATACTGTTGCAGTGAATCTTTCAAGGCCTTTTCTGGACTTTGGGTACAAGAAAAAATTACTACATTTTAAATTAAAATACACAATGGCATTAAATCTTTCCAGACCATACAAACCTTGCAATACTGAAACTGTTTTTCCTTTAAACATATGCACTTGAAAAACATTCTTATAAGTCTCCCACTGACTGCTCAAGAATGTATTTAAGCAAACAAAATTCTCAACTAAAATATTCATTTTTTTCTTATATAAGCCTAGAATGTCCTAGTAGAATTGATGAACCTGTTTCAGTTTGAACTTTCTGTTATCTACCACTTAGATCACGTTTATTCTATGATGGATAAACTAGAAACTGTGAATCATAACAAGTGAGCATTTGTCACACTCAAATGATTGCAGTGTCATTAGCAGAAAGCTACTGCTGTAATCGCAATGCATACAAAACCGAATTTTCAGCATTCTGCTATTTTTTTCACCCAAAGAGAAAAAAAGATAGAGGCTGTTCAAAAATCAGAGACTTTGTGGAAGACAAAACAACCCAGCATTGTTAATTACATAGCCTAATGAAAATCCTACAGCTCTAAAATAGTGTTAAAGCAATAATGTAAGAGGGGAAAAAGCCTTTTAAAAATGTTCCCGCTCTGACAATTTGAATCACAGTAAGTTTATAAAAATATTCTGGTTTTTTATGGGGTGCAAAGATTTATGTTTTATAGCCTTACAGCTGATAATACATACTCGTAATCTTCTTTTTTTTGCATGAATATGTCCTGTGCATCTTCTTCCATTTGTTGTAGCTCAGCAAAAAGATCCGTAGTTCCAGTCGTGCTAAAATTCCTCTGAATATTTTGACTATATTGTTGGAGGCGCTTCCACAAGTCATTATAAAGCCTCAGCAATTTAGGGTATTCTCCTTCAAATGCTTGTTTCAAAAACATAGAGGCTGTAAAATAAAGCAGTAACCAATACACAGTGTGAAATTTAAACTAAATTTTTTTACTCCTATAAACAACCTCAATCCTTGCATTTATATCAGGGAATGTTACACGATGTTGTCCTAAGTTTAATATTAATAATGTAACATTTATAACTAATTTCAAAGCAGCAAGAGCTATTACACTAAATGCACTTAACAAACGTATGTATCTAAAGCAACAGCAAAAAATCCACAACTGGAAGACTAGACATGAAAAACTTACTCTGTGCAATAAAGATGCTAATCATGGTTGTGAAAAGTTTGGTATAAAAGTTAATTATTATCAACATTCATTTAAGGCCTAAGTGTGATTAGAACTCTAAATATAGAGATTTTTTAACTATAGTGTAATGGAAGAAAAGTGTGGGGCTGTGCTACATTGAAGATATCCATTTAAAGCAGAAAAAGATAAGTGCTATGAACCAAAGACTTCAGAAATGTGATGAGGGAAGCATATGCTTTTGCACACAGTTCTTAAAACAAGGTACTTAAAATGCAATTCCTGAACTTGTCAAAGAATGACAAAGCCAGAAGAAAAATCAGCATTATTTTCAGCTTGAAAGGCTTGCCACAAGTAACAGGAAATGAAACAAATGTACAACTGTTTTAGCAACTGTTAATCTTGACCTAACATCATTCATACTCTTTGGATTTCCCATTACATTAGGAGATTAACACTGTTCCATTCATTTATAGGTTTTTCAGGTTCCAGACATCTGCCCCATTTCACCCAGCCTGTGCTTTCAACTCAAATATATTCTAGTTTTGAATACTGGAGGATTCACATTATTATCAAGCACGGAGTTACCTTAGGTCATGAAGCTAAGTTTATAAAGACTGTCCCAACCTCACAAAAGCAGATCACAATCTATTAGCAAACACTGTAAACTGCCATGAGTTCCTATTTTTACACTATTTTTTCTGATATTATCTAGGTTTCCTCTGATCTATACGATCCAGAGGCTATGACTGGTGTCAGTTGATTCAATTAGCAGGAATTTGCATGTTAAAAATGAACATTCTCATACAGATGCCTCATTTAAATAAAAAGTCTACTCACTCTAAATATTTTCCCCAAAACTCAGCTGTAGTAAAAAAAAAAAAAAAAAAAGGTAAAAAAAGTAAAAAAAAAAAAGTAAAAACATCATTCCCATTCAAAACCACCTTTCAACATTTATATAAAAAACATGTTTAAAAACAGCCAGTAATAAAATAGTTTTGGATAGATGTCAGACAAAGTACAGCTGACAAAATGTAAGAGTTCCTTCAGTTCTGTAATGTTGGTTGATCCCATTAACTGATGTCACAATTTTACTGTCTTAAAACTGGGTGCTAAAACAGGCAGCACGTTTGGTTTGAACACAGGATTTTCTAGGTATGTACATTCTGCTGTTAAAGCAATGCATAAGGAAAACAGTAAAATTAATATGTTTTAACAGAAGATGAATACATTTTCTTTTGGGATCATCTAGTTACTTAGCAACCAGTGAACATGAATCCACCAGCTAGTTCCTCAAAATTATGCTGCTGCTATAAAGCCTGGAAGGACCAAATTTTGGAGGGCCAATGCAATAGCTGAGACCACAACGACAAATGCACATTCTGTGCACTTTATCTGTATATGCAAAGGACTAACTGAATACACTGTGTGCAAACGTGAAAGATACGTTTATGAAAGCACTGAACTCACTTAAGATCCAACTGCATGCTGCATTAGTATGTACTGGTAACAGAACTGTCTTATGCTTACATTATTTTTATTTAATATTCCTTGTTTGTATCTGCTATCTGTACATATGTACAGAATACTGTGTATAACCAGAACACCAGCCATTTATCTTATTCAGACATGAAGTCTTGAAGAAACTCTTACTTATAGAGGTATCAAAAAAATGTCTTAAATCAGGTTTTTACATCCAATCAGTGTATAACAAGATAAGACTGTAAGAATTGATCTTTAAAATCAAATTACTATTTTTGAATTTTGCAAACCCCTTTGCTTTAGGAAGTATAATGTACCATTCCAAACATTTTTACCTCCACATAAAAATACTTCTTTGTTATTAGATAATGGCTACTTCATGAAACAGCAAATACTTCCTTCTGAAAATTCAACCACAGTTTAGGAGGATCGTCCTGTCTGGTTACAAAACCAGGAAGTTTTTAATTCACAGACCTTGTACTGAGGGAACCACTGCTATAGTTCTGGTAGAGGTGATAATGAGCAAAGGACTTACTGAAAAGAGAGATTCAAAATAACTACAGAATACATTACACATCATTTATAGTGAATACTTACAGTCTGTTGCTGACTGAAACTGAGAGGAAAGTGTCTGAGTTACTGCAGTCCAAAATTTGTACAAAATATCAGACTGGCCATCCTGAGAAAAAGGGACAAAAGAAATACAAGTTTCAAAACATACTCTTTTCAAAAAATCTTAAACAACGCAAATGCTTCCAGTCAAAGTTGCTCTTCATCATTGAGAATAAAACCAAAGTAAATGAAATCTGAGAAGTTTCTCTCAGGTTTAGAGCTAGAAAAAATACTGGAGGAAACAAAACCAAAAGCTTCTGTCTTGTCTCCATTGGAATATTTTCCTGCAAGGCTGACAGAAACACTCCCAGCTCTCCAGAGGTATGAGTGCAGGCCGAAGCAGCACACCTTAGGAGCCGTGTTAGAAAATCTCTTTGCACTGCAGTGAGCTTCACATTCTGTGGGGGTCCTCGTGCCAGCTACATCACAGCAATTATTTCCTGCCATTACAACGTGCTGGCAAACTCCGACCAGGGACCAACACCACTGCATGCTGCTCTGCTGCATACAGAGTTCTTGTTTCTAAAAACATAAACCACATGAAAATACAGCAAACCTCACAGTTGACTCTTCACTGCCTGGTGCCAGCAGGGCTTGCTGTCACAAGAGGAAACAAGGGAGCACACTGTTGCCAAAAGGACAGGGAAGCAAGGCTGTTTCCTTACTGCTCCCAACATCTGGCACTTATGGTCATGCACTGAAGTGTGATTTTGCTTTCTCTCTGTGGGTTTTTTTTTTTTTCCCTGCCTATTTGCATGTATGAAGTAGAAAAAAAACTACAAGAGATGAGGATGGGCATCCTTGCCTGCCCACTACTTGGAAGACTGTCCAGTGTTTTCTTGGGAAGGGGAAACTCACTCTAAACAGAACAGTTTTCTTCACTGCAAGGTACACGTCATCGACTGACCCTACTGCATACATTAACCAGTTTGACAAAATCACTCTAGTAATGATTATCAGGAAAAAAAAAAAGAGGAAGATCATGTCAGTGCAACTTCTGCACTGCCCAGCACCACAAAAAGGAGAAGATAATCTATTAAATATAAAAGTCCAGCTACTCTAAACTCACAGAATGCTTCTTGGACTCTGTCAGGCTTGGTGCTGTGACCACTTCCCTGAGGAACCTGTTCCAGTACCCAACCACACTCTGGGTGAAGAACCTTTTTCTAATATTCAACCTAAACCTCCCCTGACACAACTTCAAGGTCATTTCCTCGGTCCTGTCACTGGTCACCACAGACAACAGATCAGTGTCTGTCCTTCTTCTTCCCCTCACAAGGAAGTTGTAAATGCAATGAGGTCTCCCCTCAGTCTCCTCTTCTCCAGGCTGAACAGACCAAGTGCCCTCAGCTGCTCCTCACACGGCTTCCCCTCAAGGCCCTTCACCATCTCCGTTGCCCTCCTTTGGATGCTCTCTAAGAGTTTAATATCTTTCTTACATTGCAATGCCCAAAACTGCACAATATTCAAGGTGAGGCCACACCAGTGCCGAGCAGAGCAGAACAATTCCCTTCCTTGAGTGGCTGGTGATGCTTTGCCTGATGCCCCTCAGGACACGGTTGGCCTTCCTGGCTACCGGTGCACTGCTGGTTCATATTCACCTTGCCATCAACCAGGACCCCCAGGTCCCTCTCTGTGGCACTGCTTTCCACTCTCTCATTCCCCACTCTGCACAGACACGCAGTGTTGCCCGATCCCTGTTGCAGAATCTGGCACTTCCCCTTGTTGAACTTCATAGGGTTGGTGATTGCCCAGCCCTCGAACTTGTCAGGTCTCTCTGCAGGGCCTCCCTGCCTTCAAGAGAGTCAGCAGCTCCTCCCAGTTTGGTGTTGTCTGCAAACTTGCTTAGTAAATTGAATTACCGCTTAACATGACAAAAGTCAAAAAATGTATTCTTTCACTTGCATTGGCAATAACATGCAAAGCAATGAAGGTGTTTAGAATTTCATCCATAAGCAGGTACCACTGCATTCCTCTTGAAGATCTAGTCATTGAAAGACTGCAAGTTCATGCTCAAGTGGCAGTAAAAAAAAAATTATCATCTTAAAGAATTAATATAAAACCTGGAAATAAAAAAAAAAGAATACTGATACACCTAAAATTAATAATAACAGAAAGTAGGATTATCATCACAAACTCTTGTGATTAGGTGAGGAACTCATCCAATCCTACCTCTTATCTCTAAAGAAAGAGAAAAGAAAGATAAAGTTTATGGGTCATGGGTTAAGAATTGAGAGAGACTATCTTTAAGCTTTGGACTCATATAATGTATGATAATGAACACTGAATGCTAAAATAAATTGGGATTATGGAATCTTATTTTTGACTGCTTGAGGGTAATGATGGATTCAGAAACTGAAGTAACTTATTTTATAGCTATGTTTGTATTTCCTGTAAAATTGTACTTGACTTTCATAAAAGGGTAGAGTAAAATTATTATATCAAAAAATTATTCAGAAGGTTCACCATATAAAACCCCTTTTTTGGTAAATTTATTGCTATAGCATAAATGTGAAATTACTTCTTCATTTCACAGTTTCATATTTAGAATGTTCGAGGAGAAAAGACAACGCAGAAAGAATCACGTCTTGTCTGATATCACCTGGGGAGTCTTTCTGCTGTGCCTTCTGCAACCAGACTTGTCTATCTCGCATTGGCCTTTTTAGCCATCAGCGTGCTTGTAGCAAGCGTGGGTAGAGCCCTTCTCAAATCTTTGTTCGCGAAGCCTAGCCGTGATTTAGAATGTGAATATCACTAAAAAACAAGTGGCCTTGTGCATTAGTTATAGATTAATTAGTTTTCATATTCTCTATCCCAACCTGGAAAAATGTTTGCCTATTCAGCGTGGTAACTCAATTCAAATTCTAAATAATCTAATGGAGGTGGAAAAATACTTACAGCGCATTTTCAAACAACTTTTTTTCGTTACTGTATTCACCATCTACATCTCTGTGACAGTCTCAGCAGAGAGCACAATGATTAAGGGGCCCAGAAAAAAAATCATGGATGTACCCCTCCACATTGACATTCCTGTCTGACCTGTCAGATTCAACATGGTAACAAATAACAGTAACATACAGGTGATGACATTTAAAGTTTTAGTGAAAATATGTAACTTTCATATATATATCTCCCTCTCTCTCTCTCTAATATGAAGTCAGACATACACAGTTATATTGTCATGCACACATTTGCATAGGTAGCCACAGCCATACCATTTAAGCCTCTGCCCATTAGCTTGTATCTTCTGACCAGGGCAAATGGTGTTCATTAACTGTATCAGAATTCTACAGTGAAGAAGGCCCTCATGTCTCAGCCAGACAACTATATAATGTATGAGGAGAGAGAGACAGGAAAAGCTACATGGAAAATTCAAGTAACATTTCATGCTGATTGACTACTCAGTCAAAAATGTTCAGGGGCAAAAATAATTAATGTCCCAGTTTTGAATCAACTAAAACTACTATCTACAGAGTCATTACTGGCTGCTTCTATAACCTGGGATACAATATTTCACTTTGGCCAGTGCTGAGATGCAGTCTCTCTGGAGGTGAAATATAGCTGCTGATTAATAGCACAGAGAAGACCATGCAAGAGTTTGTGGCAGAAACCAGAGAATACTGTTACCTACGCATACACCAGGGGGTATTTAAGTGGGTGGACTGTAGCTACCAAAATTGGAATACAGCAAGGCATTAGCATGAGATACTCCTGCGGGAGTAAGAAGTGCCATATGTAACCATGAGCAGCCAGAAACAATTTATTTCGTTTAAATCTGAAATTTCTTTTGCTTACACATTAATTCAATATATTACTTTATAAAGTACTTTTAAGTGTCTCACTGCTTATTTTTTAAATAATGTATTCTAACAGACATTACATCAACGCCTGTAGATCACAATGAAAACTATGATTTAACTATTTAAAATGTAACACGCAATTCCATTTGACAACAATCAATACTAGTAAATGACACCAAAAGGGCAGCAAAGGGAGTGTTTTTCTCCAGTTCAGCAGAAAATTAAAAGAACGCCCCTCGTACTGGACAACTTCTTCAAGGACTTAACAAGATAAGCAGGATGAAGCTGGAAGAGAAATGGGTAGTACCACTTGCCTAAAATGTACAGAGCCAATCTACTGGCTCATCTTAGTGTCATGGAAAGTTTATAAGCCTTCCCCTCTGCTTCACATAGTTTTGTGAGTAACAACCCATAGTATCAGAAAACAACTGCTCTTTTGGGCCTTTCACTTTTAGAAAATGCCACCTAGCTAAAACTGCATTCTTGTCATCTTCCCATCTGTAGAGCGTTAACTAATGAATATGGTTCTCCTCTACACTTGCACTAAATATCCTCACTGGTAGAGGATGTATGGGAGCATTGGGTACATCCACATTAGTGATTCAGTGTGTAGATAGGACTCTTACCGGTCCAAATCTGTCTTCTGTCTATACTTGTCTTGCAGAACACACTGAAGTGTGCTAGCAGACTAACTTCCACTATTCAAGGAATACTCTACCTCATAATTAGCTTAAAAGAACAAATTCTACAATTAAATAGCTTTTTGCAGCATATCTTCATATTTTTGTAACAGAACCCACAAGGATGTACTAATATTTCTATCAATTAATATTCTGAGACTTTAAATCAGGAATTTTCCATTTCTCTTGCTTCTGAAAATGAAATAAAATTGAAAGATGTTAAATTACATACACCCCCTCCAAAATAAAAATGCTTGCTTTGAAATCTAGTCACAAGCAGATTAACATCTTGTGATACAATCCCTTGTAGCAGGAGCAGCTGACAAGATGAGTAATGAACTGCATCCGATTATCTTTTCAGCTCTGTAGCAATCATTTTCCAACAGCTTCCTATGCCATAACCAACAACGCTGGAAAAAGGTCACCGTTCTGTCATATTCCCCCCCTGCCCCCCATCCGTGTATGTGTTTAATAACACAGAGAACACATAAACCTTTGGAAGTTAAGAGGTACTGTTATCTGCTGCAAAGCTGTTTCAGGTGCACACTGCATATACAGAAAGCCTACATAAAACATCCATACATAAC